TAGCTCACCCAGTAGAGCGTACACACCATAGGCTGAGTCCTTTGCAGCAGCCTGGGTTCAGCTCAACCCGCGGTCCTTTGTTGCTTGTCGTGGAGTGAGACCGGGCTCGTCTGAAACCTTTGAATGTTGTGGTGTCATAAACGTCTCAGCCTCCGACATTTTACCAGCACTTTAGGCTTAAGTCCAGTGTATTTCTGATCTGTGACTACATACAAACATTGGCCAGTATTTCCATGTTTTTAAGGATGGTTGAAAAGCAGTTTTTGCTCTTCTAAAAACATAAACACTTGATCAAGGCTCCACTGGTATGATGTGGTACTGAACCTTCTCCTCCTCCTCTCTGTCCTCTCAGGGCTTGCTGCTGCAGATCGGCGAGGCGATGCTGGAGGAGGAGGCGCAGGAGGCCCAAAGGCAAAAAATGAAGCACATGGAGGAGAACTGTCCCGCCCTCTCCATCCCAGGCTCCATGCAGGAGCTCCAGGTAAACCACCACCATCACCTTGGAAGCTGGGTGGAGGTCAGAATCACTGCAGCCTCCATACAAACATGGCTGAAGTAAGCAGGTTTACAGAACTGTAGAAGCCGTAGAGCTAACTGAGCAGGTACTACTGCACTTGCCCCAAACATTTGAACACATATTACTTTAACAAATATTTTGTTTATTTTTCAGCATTCAGCAACAGCTCCCACGAGTATTTGACACTGGTGCCTCATGGGAAAACGATAATCCCACGGGAGCTTCTGTTGCTGAACGCAAAAAAACTACAAAAAGAAAACAGGACTGTCTTCTAATTTTAGCTCGGGTGAATCCCTATAGTCTCTGTTGGGATTTTCCTCCAGCTGTCAATGCCAAAAGAGTTTCCTGTGATGACAGACAGACACAGTTAGAGACAGGCTGGTGAGCGTATCCTCATACAACAGTTCAAGTTAGTGCCCTTACCGCTTACGTTAAGTTTAGGAAAAGAATCATGGTTGAGCTTCATCATGTTACATACTTAACGTAAAATTTCATACTTAACGTAAAGTTAGGTCCAGGAAAGTAAAGTTGCATAGGTTAGGATTAGGAAAGGAAACATGGTAGGGTGCCATCACCTCACATACGAAAGGGTGTATTTCAAAACAGCTCAAGGGCTCAGGGGGGCCCTAAGCAGAGTCTCTGCATGAAGTTGCTGCGCCCTCACCAACTTTGTATTTTTTGTCAAAGGGCATGGTCATCATGTCAATAACACAGCCCTAAAAGTCCTAGAAAAACTAGAAACTTAAGGAATTGCCTAAACATTCACTTTGATTTCTTTCACAAGAAAGAAATCATCATAAGACATTTTAAGACAGTGTATCATCCCATCAGTTTTTTGTACAGGACTTCAGCCCTGGGGAGAAAGGGGGGTTTTCTCCACTTCCAGGCCCAGGGGCCCATTGTGCCATAATGTGCCTATACACATACTTACTGTAAAGTTACTTAGGTTAGGTTAAGAAACATGGCTGATTGATGACGTACCATAAAGTAACTCACCTTACTCAAGTAAGTTCACCTGGTTTGACACAAACTCCAGTTTCCTGTGTGAAAGTTATGTGTTTGTTTGACCCATCCACCACCCCAACATGCCTCTTTATGTGGACTTTACGCTACTTCCTTCCTTACTCTTGTCAGCACATTGGTCACATAATTGCAGCTTTTACAATTACGTGATTTATATATGAATTACTGGCTCGGGATGACATGGGTTATAAGAATTGTGTTTCATTCATTTTTGTTGATATACACATGAACAGTCCACGACTGTTACGTTTTACTGGTCGATCCACATCCCAATCCTCACCTGTGGTCATGAGCTCTGGGTAGTGACCGAAAGAACGAGGTCACGGACACAAGCAGCCGAAATGAGTTTTTTCTGTAGGGGTGGCTGGGCTCAGCCTTAGAGATAGCGGGAAGAGCTTGGACATCCATAGGGAGCTCTGAGTAGAGCCGCTGCTCCTTTGTGTGAAAAAGGGATCCGCTGAGGTGGTTCTGGCATCTAATCAGGATGCCTCCTGGGCGCCTTCCGTTAGAGGTGTTCCAGGCACATCCCACTGGTAGGAGGCCCCAGGGCAGACCCAGAACATGCTGGAGGGATTACATATCTCATCTGGCCTGGGAACACCTTGGGGTCCCCCAGGAGGAGCTGGAAAGTGTTGCTGGGGAGAAGGGCGTCTGGGGTGCTTTGCTCGGCCTGCCGCCCCTGCGACCTGGCCCCGGATAAGCAGATGAAAATGGATGGATGAATGGATGGACATATGAACGGTGCATGATAACAGCCTGAGCTGGTGGAGCATTTAGCAGGTAAAGAGACAGCTATTTCCCCAGAAAGTTTGTGGAGACCAAAAACAGAGATAAAAGACTAGGAATATTGACTAAAATGAATCAGAAAAGAAGAAAAGAAACTCTGCTTGATGTTACCCAAAAACTTTATAAGATGATATGTAGGTCTAAATGGAAGGAGGCCCCGGGGCAGACCCAGAACATGCTTGAGGGATTACATACCTTGTCTGGCCTGGGTACGATGTCAGGGGTGCTTTGCTCAGCCTGCTGCCCCTGCGACCCGGCTTCAGATAAGCGGTTGAAAACGGATGGATGGATATATATAAATGTTATGACATATGCAGTTAAAATTTTAAAAATACAGCACCTACATGCTGAATTAATTTTTCAGATTTGTTTTTCCTGTTATATTCAAACACACACTAATTAAACACAGACTGTAGGAGGTGACAGAAAATTGGCTTTGTAACATAAAATATAGAAAGAATGGATCCCCTGCTTGTTACGTTGGCTATGTTTGTCACACCTGTTTTCCTGTCTATTACAACAATCAGGAGCTGTGCCGGAAACTTCATAAGCAGATTGATTTGGTGGATGACGAGCGATACGACATAGAGATCAAAGTGAAGAAGTCCAACAAGGAGGTACGTCTTTTTCAAGTTTGACTTCCTGCCAAAGGTGTTTTTTTAAAATCAATGTTATTTTCTGTTTCCACAGCCCACATTAACAGCTACACCATGTTTTATATTATATATATTTGTTTTATATTTCAAAGTAACTCTCTCTTCTGTCAGATCGACGACCTGAAGCTGATGGTTCAGGATCTGAATGGGAAGTTTAAGAAGCCAGCCCTGAAGAAGGTGCGGATGTCGGCTGATGCCATGCTGGCTGCTCTGCTGGGCTCCAAACACAAAGTTTCTATGGACCTGAGAGCCAACCTGAAGCAGGTCAAGAAGGAGGTGAAAGAGGAGGTGCGTGCTTCAGATTTTACATTGAAGGACAATTACAGCAGGATTACATTTAGTTTGGGTTGAACTGAGTACATTTTTTTGTGTCCATCTCTGAAATCAAACATTGGCATAAAAATACAACAACAGAACAGACTGAAAATCATAATTCCTCAAACACAAATTAATAAGAGCATTTCAACTATTTATTATTTGTGATGTGAGCCTGCTGCATCTTTTGCATGTGTGTCTTTGCAGGAGAAACAAACAGGCGACTGGAGGAAGAACATTGAAGACAAGGCTGGGATGGGCGGCAGGAAGAAGATGTTTGAGACAGAAGCTTAAACATCAGCGTGTTGTTCTTCTGTTGACCAGTATTATTCATTTCTCTGTGTTATGTGAGTCTATGCTGTTGGCAATGTGTATAAATGACGGAATAAATAAATCATGTGGTGCTTTTGAGTGTGTCATAGAAATAATTTGATAAATCATGAAATATAAATAGACAGAACATAGAGGAGTTTTCAACCATCAAGATTAACATAATTTGGGTTTACAAATGGTAAATGTGAGACAAGGCATGAAATTAAACATAGAAAAATTAAGTAGAATAAAATGCAACAGAATAGAATAATTTGAAAATAATTTTCAAAAAATGAATTAAATGCATAATAGACAGTATTAGAAGTGTAAAAATGAAACTAACAACAATATCAGGCTTTTAAAAAGGTTTTGAGAAGGCATTTAAATGCACACGTTTCTTATTATTTTTATGTTAGGCTATTAAAAGGGACAGTTTACCCCACACTCAAAACAAAAAAAAAATAGCTTTGCAGGTAGCAAGCTACTTTTGCCATTTTCTCATAGCTTGGCTTGCTACGTTTCTCTGGGGATAGCTTCAGTGTAGTGAAACTTCATTTTGATGTAGAGTAGCTGGTAGCTTAGCTCACTTCATCTTCCAAGTAGCTTACCCAACACTGCATATTAAAAGCAAGGCCCACAATAAAGTCCCAAAAATATATACATGTAGTTAAAACAATTCAATAACCACTGATCAATTAATTTAATTAAAACAGTATGAAATAATAATGTTAAGTATGAGACATCAGTTTGTCCTTTGGTCAGCAGAGAGGGAGCATCACAGACCATGTGCATAATAAGTTTCATGCATAGGTTTTAATAATAACTAGATACTGGACACCAAAATGGTGCCTAATCATTCCAATGTAATTGCTTGCCTGGCACACATGCCAAAAAAGTTTTCTAGTTTCTCCCGCTGGCTCTGCCCGCAAATTCCTGCTCGGCTTGTAGACTTCACATTGTGATGACATCGTAGACTTTTAAATTGCTTTTTTTGGCTTGAGGAAAGTTTAACAAATATAAAACCACCATGACTAAAAATATCAGGACAGAAAGATTGTTAATTGACCTTGTTTGCAGTTGGAGGTGTTCTGTCAACAATTTTATAGACATGTAATGGTGGTCTACAGAGAAAATGCTTTGAGGGCTGCAGTCTCCCCTACAGGAAGTAGGGTTGCCAGTTGAATTGTACCACTGATTAAAAGTAAATAAGTATGAACAAGAAAGGCAACATATAAAAGAAGACAAAAACATGAATGAACCTGTCATCCTTGACTTCAAACAAACAGGATTAATGTTGGTAAATCTCTGGTCCGCACTCTGAAGCAGTAGGTGGCGGTAATGAGCTGGTTACCAACTGCCGCTAAAACTCAAGAAGAAGAAGACAGCGCTTTCCCTCGGTCATGTGACACGCTAGTGGAGGTGGAAGTTGGGGAAACCATCCACTACACCAGCAGGCTACGGTTGAAAATTTGAAAGACAAACATCGTTATATCCACGTTTAAAGGAACAAGACAAGGCGCTTGTATTCGCGCTGCTGGCCGCTGATTTCCCCCCATAAAGAGACCAAAATGACGGCGGCGGTATTTTTCGGCTGCACCTTCATCGCCTTCGGCCCAGCTATCGCTCTGTTCCTGTTTACCATCGCCCGGGAGCCGCTGAGGGTCATTTTCCTCATAGCAGGGTGAGAGTTAGTCTATATTTATCAAAGCAGGGTGATAGTGAACTTATCTTCATTATATCAAGGTGATACAGGCACGAATATGGCGTTTAATCAGATAAAACCCAGTGTTTAGCGGAGCTAGCTTTTAGCTAACAGACCGCTTCCTTAGCTAACGTTAGCAGCTACCGTTAGCTTCCATTTTCATCTTGAAAGTTTCTCTCTTATATTTCATACAGTTAGATACATTCAGCCATTTAGGGTTGTTCTCGCACACTACACACACTAGTGACAATAATTCAAATATCCAGCGTTAGGGTTTAAACAATGTATCTTAGCTTTTAATTCAAAGACAACGTTAGCTAGCTAACTGTTAATTCATAACTGTTGGACAAGAAGCTGTATTTATTATGCTCAGAGGTCTGTTCGGTTTACAGCGATTTAGGAAACGATAAAGATGATGTCGAGAGAAGGGCCAAATATAATCACCTTAATTGTGTCCGATAATAGAAACGTTAAGGTTTTAATGGGCTGCACAGGTTGTGCTCATTTACCTTAAACTATGAACAAACTTGACTAAACGTGAGTAGTTCACAGCTACTTTGGTATATTATTATCAAAGATACACATTTTCTTGCATTAACTTGGTTGGAGCTAACTGTAACTGTTAACAACACATTAACTTATTAGAAAAAGGCCAGTGTTATTAACAGTATAGTAGACAAGTAACGTAAGGTGCCACAGTGTTGGCTTACTTCGTTACTGAAGTCTTTTGATATCTAACATGTGGTGGCAATTTAGTTGAAGTTACCGAAAATTAATCAAAATCTTGCATTAATCCACCACTTTATCAATTGCACAGTGTAATGATAGTAATTTCATCACTACTGAATACTACTCTACCACTGTTTTATTTTGAATAATATGTTTCTGTTTAATTTATATTCTATTTTATTCCTATATTTTAATTCATGCACAGTGTCTTGGATTCTCACTTGTACTTGGGTGTTTTTCTTTTTGACATTTTGGAGGAGCATTGTAGGAGGGAGCCAGAGAACAACAATTAAATTGTCACAGACTGCCTCCGCTGTAAAATTATGGGTGTCAGTAGCTCAGTCCATAGGGGCATGGTTCAAGTCCCCGTTCAGACCAAGTGTAAAGCGTGGGTTAATAAAGTACATCTTCTTCTAATTGTTCTGCATCTGACAAATAACGAATAATGTTAAGAGAAGCGGGCTTGTGTGACCTGGCTCTGTGTATCAACAGATATTAATGTTTATTGCATAAAGTTTCAAAATTAGTTTTTTTTTTACACTGTGTCAGAGAGATATTAATTAGCCTAAGTTCTCAAAAGGTTTCACCTCACATTATAAACATGGAGATAAAGATTAAGCTAACAGTTAAACAATTATTAATATAGTTGCTATTTTATTTTTTTTTAAGCAAAAATGCCTAAATCTGTGTTTATTTAGCTTCTAAAATGTGAAGATTTGCTCTTTGTATCTTCAATCACCTGTAAATTGAATATCTATATCTAGTCACAGTTGGCACAGGGAAGTTGCATTATTCAATATTTACTGAAATTTTATTCAAAAACAATGAATGGATTGTCAGAATATTTGAAAACAGTCTATTCAGTTCAGTCTGGTTTCATAGCTTTGGCATATGGTCATCTATGTGTTACGTTATATATTATTTAGCTTTCATCTTGTGCTATATCTCATATCTCGTAGAATATACATAACATAGGCTACATAATAGATTCTAACAATAATCTACTTTATTATAATATATTGTGTTAATTTTTTTACGTAGATTTTTTTGCATCATATTCTATATTACAACTCTTAATACAGACAAATAATCATATCGCTAGCTTCGTATGCTCTCTATAGACTTGCTGACTCTGCTGCTAGTAATCACACTACTTTTACTTTATCGTGTAGGTTTTGTCTCCAAATGCTCTTGATTTTTTTTATTCCATTCATAATTTAGTATTATATACCTCTTATTATGTATTTATTTTTACCCTATTAATCTGTGCTGTTTCTGTCTTTATGCTGCTCCTCTCCTCTAGGGATCAATAAAAGTTTATCTTGTCTTGTGTCAGAGATAAGACATCATTACATGCAGTAGCCTGCCATATAATGATGTCAATGACTGTGAAATGAATGTTAATGTTCTGCTATCTCCTGCTTAGTAAGCTGTAAAGGACATTCCAGCCTGATTTTTTTTTTACCTGATCCTCAGGCCAATGTGCCAAAAATGGACAGCCAGTAGAAAAAGTGAATACCTTGTGGGAATCGCCTACTTCAGAGCATTTATTTAGACAGTTAAGGCAGCATGTCTGCATCCACATTCACATCCATTTGTGACAACTAAGGCCTTAAGGAAAGCTTATTTAAGCATAAACAGATCAATGTATACTTTGTGTAACATCTGGAAATTTAAAGAGAACTGATGTAGCTATTGGACTGAAATCAACTTCAGTAACACACTGATGTCACACATGCCTGTGTCTGAGCTGTTTTTCATATAACTAATTGCGTGTGTGTTTTATTCCCCTCTCAGAGCGTTTTTCTGGCTGGTGTCTCTGCTGCTGGCCTCCCTGGTGTGGTTCATCTCAGTTCAGATCAGTAACAAGGACAGCCCAGCGCAGCAGAAAGGTCTCCTCATCTTCGGTGTGGTGCTGTCCGTCCTGCTGCAGGAAACCTTCCGCTTCGCTTACTACAAGCTGCTGAAGTAAGTTCCTGTCACGATGTTCACAGCTGGCCTGCAATACAGTCTCTGTTTTAACACTGACAGACTCATTCTGATTATATTCAGTGTGAATCACGTCATCTGGTCCTGAGCCAGTTACCATCATAATCAGATTTCCATCACATTCTTGAATGCAGCTTTGTATGTTTTGGAATAAATGTACTTTTCATTTGATTTTTAGTATCTTCTGTCAGCAGTGGATTTTCACAGCTTGTATTGAGATGCTTCTTAAGCCTTGACTTGAAGAAACCTATCTTAAAAATAGACATCTACAACAGTCTTTTATAATTATTGCAAGAAGTTTGATATGACTGAAGGAGGTGAGGAAAATGTAAACATAATCCTGATGACAGAAACTGCTCGATAAACAAAAAAGATAAAAAGTTGCTGTGTTCAGTTTTTACAGTTTTTGTAGTTAGTATACAACAAATCAACATACTTAGTGCAGTTGGAAGTCAGTCAAATTATGATTTTAAATGCTGCTGCTAAAACATCTTTCTTGCTAGATCCAGCTCTGCAGCCCCTTTAGCGCCGCCTCAGCTCCTCTGGTATAGTGTAAACATTGTCGTGCCATGTCATTCAAAATGAGAGCAGCTGCTCCTTTGAATAAACAAGGTGTCCGCCACCATCTTGCAGAAATGAAGTAGCAATATCCATAGGATATAGTTAGATCCACTCAAAGTGTGCAGTAGAAAAACGAAAATGTGGACAAGCAATGGGAAAGAGTAAAGATAAAGTACACTACAGAGACAGAGCTACTGCAGAGGCTGCCACTCACGTCAGCGCCATCTTGTAAAGAGGCCACACATACGTTGTGTTGTGTAACAAGCTACTGGGTGCCTTCATTTCCCTCAGGATTAATTACATGTCTATATATCTATCTAAAGATTTAAAAACACCCTTTTTTGTCTTCTAGGAGCTTTCTGCAGCTGCTCTACCAGCTCAGGTTCTTTTGTGCATTGCCTCAATATTGTCCATGAACAGCACAGTCCTATTCAAATGTATTTTAATGTGCACGCTGACTTTTTTGAGTAAACTTAATTTGGTCACGCACTGCCTAGAGTCAGGATGTAGTCCGGAACTGGGACAGCGCTAATGATTACGAGCACCAGCAGCCACTAGAGGCCACTAAAGCTGAATAATCAGCCAGTTGTCCTGCAGTGAAATGATTGTCTGGTGCTGACTTTTACCATTTTAAAAACTCACAGAGATGCACCAAAATGCCAAAACAAGTATCCAGTGTTTATCACCCTATACTGGTCAATACTGAGAGACAATGATGCTTCTGTTTTTTGTTGCCAAGTTGACGGCAGTATCACAGGACATATGCCAAGAGTTCGAAAAGCAAAAAACTTTGCATGTTCTTATAAGTATTATGATATTTTAGGTCTCAGGCTGCAAATGACAATATTTATCATCTATTAATCTGATTATTTTCTTGATTAATTGATCAATTGTGTGGTTCATCAAATGTCAAAAAATTACGAAAAATGTCCCTCACAGTTTCCCAGAACTTAATGTGATATGTTTAAAGAACCCATGTAGATGCGCTAATTTTGGTGGACAAGGGCCGTAATGTTCATATTAAAGAGGCTAGAACCTGTTAACTTTTGCGTTAACAAACTTCAGAGTGGATGCAAATTAATTTTCTGTTGATTGACTACTCATTTAATCAGGTAATCATTTCATCTTAAAACAGTTTGATTTTTTTTGATGAAAGCAACAGTATCCTGACTGTAAGTCCCTATAAGATTTTCTTACTGTAATAAAACAAATGCAAACCAGTGGCAATCTGAAAAACATTTGAAAATCTAAAACACTGCAGCACTCTTTCTAAGTTTGTCGATGTCAGTAGAAAGTGTACAACGTGATTCTGTGAAGACCAAACAGCTGATCTGAAGTGTAGAGTGAGGTAGTGATTGTGGGGTGGAGATATTTGTCTGAAAAGTTTAATCTGCATAAACATAAAATGAAAGAAGACGGTAAAATCCAAGAACAAACTGTTCTTTTTTTTAATACCTCACTAGGCTGAGTGGGCGGAAGTTTGCTGCATAGATCAGCCTCTCATTGGGCGGAACGAGCCACCCACCACCTCCGGTTGTGTAGCAGTTTTCAACCGTTTTCAACGCGTCCTTTACTAACTTTTGCGGTGTTTGATCTTGCGGAGATGTAGCCGTTTTTCTGCCATGGTTCGCGTCCTGTAGGCGATATTTTTGTGGGCATGTGTCACCAAAACCTGTTTCCCCCCAGCAATATTTTTGCAAGTGCATCGTTGCTGTGGCACCGCCCAGAACGATTGTGATTGGTTGAAAGAAATACAAGCAGCCGGGGCGTTTTTTTTTTCTCCAATCTTAAAGTGAGAGTCGGCCCAGCCAGACCTTTCTTTTTTTGAGAAAGGTCTGGTGAGCGAGACTAATACCTCACAGACAATTTTGTATCTTTGAATTGAACCCTGCAGCTCAAGTTGAGTTTTATGTCAAAGCTCAGAAATCTGACGCACACAATGTCAAGGTTCTTCAGTTTGAGACTTGTTTTAAATCTAACACTAGGACATTTTACAACTTGTGTGTAATTTAATAAACTAACTTCTGCACTCTCTCATCATCATAATTACACCCTGGTGAGTAGTGCCCCAGAGTGTGTGTCTCTGGTGTCCCAGTTTGTTCCAGTTCCCACCTTTATTTATTTTTTTTTTCTATTAAAGGTCCATTGTTGCAGTGCGTATCATCTTCCTCTTACTGACACACATATTTCTTACTGATGTTTTTGTTGACAGCACACAGTGAAACGAGGAGCTTAAACGCTGACGTGTGTGTTTGTGTGTGTTTTTCCTGCAGGAAGGCGAATGAAGGCCTCCTCGCTCTCAGTCAGGAGGAAACCATGCCGATCTCCATACGTCAGCTGGCCTATGGTACAGTTAGTCTGCACTTCACATCACTGTCTGTCTCTTTGTTTTATTTAAAGCTGACTGTGTTTGTGTGGCGCTTTGGAAAAAGCGTTATTTCAACTTCCCAGCTGCTGAACAGGGTTAAGAAAATCTGATAATGTGTTTTGTCCAGTATTCATCTTTAAAGGGGTACTCCAGTGATTTCATACATTAAAATAAGTTCACCTATCATTGGAGGACTAGCACTAGCAGTGTTAGCACTAACTAAATATGCATCATGCTGTGGACTAAAAGTCAGGATGTCTCAGTCTCTACTGCTTCGTTTTTAACCAGCTTCTTTAAACCAGTGTCTCTAAAATCCCCCAACATCATAGAAGCACAATACTAACTTGCTGGAGTACTTAAAAACATCCAGTCCCTTAAATATGGTCCTTCAAGAATAGTGATCAAGATCTGTACTCAGTGAGACATTTTATAATTAAAAATAAACTTCTCTGTACTCTCTGGTGGACTAAGTATTTTAGCAAGACGTAGTTTTGTTTCTGAATGACCACAAACAGGTATTTATATTATCTGGGCTGTAGTATCTTGTTGCTGATCTCCCAACATATACCCATTGCTGATATATCTGATAAATAAAAAGGTGCTGCTAACACTGTTAACATGCAGTCAGTGGAATAAAACACTCCTCTGTCATCGCCGTTTTGCCTCAGTGTCCGGCCTCGGCTTTGGCTTCATGAGCGGTGCGTTCTCGGTGGTGAACATCCTGGCGGACTCTGTGGGGCCAGGGACTGTTGGGATCCATGGAGACTCGCAGCACTACTTCCTGTCCTCAGGTAACAATATACACAGAAACTTTCCAATTTAGCTGTCAGCTACAATGTGTATTTGAGTGTATTGAATCTGTAAAGTTGTTCCCACCATTTTCCCCTGGGTTGTCAAAGTCAAGTTCAGAAAAAGTGGGTGTATCAGTATTTTAAATGAGGAATAGTTTAGATTACATAATCCTACATGTTACACTTTTCGTTTTTCAGCCTTCATGACCATGGCCATCATCCTGCTTCACATGTTCTGGGGCGTCGTCTTCTTTGATGCCTGCGAGAAGCAGCGCTGGTGGGCGGTGGCTGCTGTTGTCATCAGCCACCTTGTCGTTTCCTGTCTGGTGAGTGTTGATGAGGGCTGGGTGGGTGTTTGTTTTAAGCCCAGTTCAGACCAATGATTCACGATGAGATGAAACTGTTTTAGAAAGTTGCAGAGAAAAGTTGCAGTGGTGTGAACTGGCTGTCTGAACTCAACTCAAGCCGGCTGATGGTGTCACCTGCAACACAGCTGGTCAAATTGCCAGCGGCTGGTTATAGAATGTAAGGCACGTCACCTCTCTCAGCAGCATATCAGCTTGTAGAGAATCCACCAGTCAAGTCAAAATGATCGTAGACAGCATGGTCGCTTGCTACGTCAGGTGTTCCCTCCCTGCAGAGCCCTCTTTTTCCATCCTCATGAGTTGTATTCAGCCACAAAATAAGCTTTAAAAACCTGAAATCAGAAATACAGAGAGTTGTTGCATAAAGATGATACACTGTCTCATCTAGTTGCATCGGTGTGAACCAGCTGGTTTTTAGAATGTTGCTGAATGACGCATTGCAAGTAGTTACATGTTTGAACTCATCTCGTTGCAAATCTTTGGTCTGAACTGGGCTTTAGTTGTATGAGCAAAAAATAAAAACCCATAAGGTAGCTTTTGTGTGGTCATTTAGTTATGGTATACAGAGCTGGAAAACCTGTAGTAAACTTAGTGTTTGTGTTTTGTGTTTATCTGTTTCTCGTCTTGTCCCACAGACCTTCCAGAACCCCGAGTACGTCGCCAGCCTCGTTCCCACCTACATCATCTTGTTCCTGATGGGCATCTGGGCGTTTTACTCTGCTGGCGGCTCCCTTAGGAACCTCAAACTTTGCCTCACCTGCAAAGACAAAGACTTCCTGCTGGCCAACCACCGGCCCAGATAACGCTGCACACCAGGCAGTGTGCAGGACTCTCTATCCAAAGATCACTGAGTTCACACACACAAACACACATACACTAAACACAGCGAAGCAGCAGTGTTAACCTTCTGTTAATCTGCTCTTTCACTTAAGAGGTATTTCATGATCTTAAGTCTAAAAGTAAAAGCATTAGAAGTTCCTCCAAGGAAAGAAACAAAAAGATCATTTTGATTCATGTCCAGCTCAGAGGCTCAGTTAGTTTGTACAATGAGGTTCTGTTAAAAACGAAATATCTGATATCTGGCTGAAAGTTTTCCCTGTTTGTTGCCTGATGCTCTGAAAGAAACAACAAGCCTACAAACGATATTTTAGGTTGGTGACACTCTTTACATTCTGTACATATTCCAATGTTTTAAACTTTTCTGACAGGTATCTTCTTTTCAAATGTGTCAAATCTTTCAAGGGGTGGATTTATCATTTATGAACAAAACTCTGTAAATATTTATGCATTTTTAATTCCCTGATGTGTAGATAGTGAGAAGTTTTAACCTTTTTCAAGATGTGACATCTTTAGTCTGTGTAAGAACTTGCCTTTCATTTGAAATGAAGCTAAAAGGGGACATGGGCTGCTGTTTGGTTCTTTTCCCGGTCATCCTGAGGTCATGAGTGAAATACTTATGTTTTATTCCACATATGAGTATTAATGTCTTAGGGCATCTTCATATTAGGCACCACTGATTCGAGCTGTGCCCGAGTATGTACATTAGTAATAGTTCTCTGTACCTGAATACACTTGCATCATCTACGTGGCATTTTTGTTGTGCTACAGTGTAGGAAAGGGCCCCACAGATGGACACTGTTCCCCCGAGGAACGTCATCAACAGACTGGTGGAGGAGCGAGTCGCTGGAACTCTCCGCCTCCTGCTGGAGCTCCAACTGTAGGTCAGAGACAGCAGCAGAGCTAAGTTTGGGTCTGTCTGCATTGGGCTGCGCTGCTGTCTGATATAGTCTTGTGTTAGAGAACAGTCCGCTTTCGCGTTTTGTTACGACACGCATACCGTACCAGAGTGCACAAGAATTGTACCTAAGATCACCTTTTTAAGTGGACTCGGGCACAGATTGAGGTATTGTGCCTGAGTACAGTACACAGTGGTCACACTAGTCAAGTGAACTGGACTTAGGGGGTCAGGTGTATTAAAACATGGGCCAGGGTCCCTGATTTAAAAGCCCCCTAATCAAAGCTAATGGTTACTGATTTGAAAGCTAAATTAACAAACATTTCCTGTTTGTTCTCCTTTACTTCTGTTTCCTATCTGAGAGGCGAGGAGCTCAGACTAAAACGTAAAAAAACAGAAAAGGAATTATAAAATCTTAATTTATACCTGCAGTATTTCTCACTTGATTTAGCTCATGATTCTGAGAAGAAAAATGTTAAATATCGCCAAGTCACAAGACTCTCCAGTCTTTATCTGAAGCTGACTGAAGTCAAACAGAAACTGTCAGCTTCTGTGTAGGTTAGCAGACGGTTCATTTTCTTTATTTCTCACTTTTCTGTGAGTGAAAACCCTCAATTCTAAATCAGTAAGACCATGAACAGGTAGAAGTTTTGGCTCAGTGATCTTTGAATGTTCACTTTCTTTGTTGCCTTTATTTATGTTTCTGAGTGAGCATGGGAGTTAACGTGAGCGGTGTCCGACACGTAAGAAATTCCAAACAATGAATGTCTTCCTTTGCACCTGATTTTGTTTTGTTGTTGAACTTCTTGTACAGTTTGTATAGATTACAATCTGCTGTGTTTATACTACTATATGAAAACTGGAACCTTTTGCGTTAAGCATATTATTACTATCCTGCGTTGTGCTGGCACTTGACTCCAGACAGAATCTAATTTGGCTTGTTCACACAGGTAGAGAAGACAGTTATTAGACACACACTAAGCTAAAACTAATGTCAAATATACAGTCCTGCAATAAATCCTCCTTCACGAAAGTTATAATTTGTTTTTGTTGAAACTCTTTTAAAGAGCTGTTGATTCGGATACAGTTTGTGGTGCTGTTGAACCCAAAAGTGTTTGTTGTTTTGTCTTTATTTACTGAAATAAATAAGACAGACAAATAATAGAAACACCTGCCAGTATAATGCAGTACAGTTCAACAGCACCATAGACATTCATGTTCCCCTCAGGATGAAACATAATAATTTTACTAATCTTTTAACTTCCATCTAATCTGTTGAATACTTTTGACATTCCCATCAGCCTCAGCTATAACGTGTTTTTTGCCAATTAGCAAATGTTAGCGTGCTAACACATTAAGATGGTAAACTTTGTAAACATTACCTGACCTAACATCAGCATGTTAGGATGTTGACATTAGCATTTGGCTCAAAGCATCATGTGCCTAAATACAGCTTGACCACAGATGACCATTTGTATATCAGTTAATCATCGTGTTTTGTTGACGTTTTTCTCACAGGCCTCAGGGTGATCTGGCTTAGAAGAAAGGATACACAAGTTTCACTTTTAGTTCAGTGCTCCGTCAGAAAGAGCTGTTTATACTGCACGAGTTGAGTAAGAGTAATTGTGCTTTCATACCTGCCCTGTTTGGTTTGGTTCAATCAAACTCAAGTTCATTTGCCCACTTAGCATGGTTTTTTTTGGGGGGGGGGGCAGGAAACAACCAGACTGAGATCTTCTTGAAGAGGTGGTCTCTGTCTGGATACAAATGAACTCTGGTGCGGTTCGTTTGTGGTGAGAAGGTGTTCCGACCTGGATGTGAACCAACTGCAGTCACATGACACATTGTTTGGGTTAAACATGAGCATGTTACAGTCCTGGAGGATTATTAATGTGCACCTCCTCCTGTACTGCCTTAATATGCACATTCAGCACATCCAATGCATCAAAACATTGTTTTCTAGTTGGAGCCGCGCCTCGTTTTCAAACTGTATGGTTTGACTAAAATGAACAATGACAGCAATATAGTCCACGATGAGCAGCGCTAAAATCAACCTGCGTAGTTGTCCCTCCATTGTGACATTAGAAAGTGTCACATTTATCTTGCAAGTGTACTCTTCTTCAACGTTTGCTTTACTTCCTGGATTTTTTCCCACATGGAAATTCTGACCAATCAAGAGCAGCTTTCTCACACAAGGCATTTTATCTGGTCCGCTTATAAATGCTGCCGTGAGAACACAAACCAACTCTAGGCAATTATACAACTTTGTAACAAAATTTGTCCCTGATTCAGACCAAAGTAAGACAACTCTAGGTCTGAAAGCACCCTAACTAAGTAAGTAAGTTTTGTTGTTGAACATGATCCCCTAAGGCTGCAACTCATCAACAATTTTCTCTGCTTTTGGATTTGTTGTTCACTGGAGGCATGCAAGAAAAAGTTAACGTTAAGAGTTACTTGACATGGGGTGAGTAACTAATACACAAATGGTCATTTGGGGGGGTGAACTATTCCTTTAAAGATTTCTGTCTGCAGTAAAAATCAATGGGTCTGGGGCTGAGTGTCACAGACAGGTTAGAGAAGTCAAAATGTATTCATCTCCTGCCACAACCATCTTAATTCATACAGAAACGCATAAATCTACAGAAAACAATCAGTCATTTCATGAGCGCTTTAATGAGCAGTCTGCAGGGCACAAAGCAGGCGCCAGGTTTCCAGTACAGTGCATTTGTGTGAGTGTATGATGGGGCTGAAGCCTTGTGTGCTTCAGGAGGATGCTTAAGTTCGCATGTCTGTTTCAACAAACAGCTATAGGAGTTTGAGATTTAGAGACTAACTGCACAAACAAATCTGAAATCAAGATGTTTTTTTTAACGTTTCCTCTTAAAACCTCCCTCCCCACTGACCCCCTTGCTCTTTCTCCTCTGGTCCTATTTCCATTTATGAAAGCAGACACCACCTGGCTGAGCAACACAAAGCCTGTTGGGGTCTCTGAGGGCTTCAGTCATTCAAAGCCCTTTTTTACCCAGACAGACAGACGATGGAAGCGTTTCCGCTGCTGAAAACCTGACTTTCACATGCTAATACGAGTCTGTGCAGTTGGTGACACTGGGGTCACCTCAGTCATATTGAAGGTGTATGTTTCCTGTCATCAGGTGTGAGGAAGATGTACGTTCCAGGTTCAGATCAGGGGCACGTTGAATCTGAAAATGGTATGCACTGTGTTGGTACGGTATCCAGGTTGAACGAAAACAGTGTGCAACAGGCTTTGAGATCAGTTTTCTCTCGTTTGGTGGGTGCATCAGATGTGTTACCTAATCAGCAGCATTGTGTATATAAATTCTAGTAGATCTGTACTTACTATACACACAGTTTTTGTTTTTGTTTCACACTTGCTTTGGCAATGTATCCATCCATCCATCCATTTTCAACCACGTATCTGGGGCCGGGTCGTGAGGGCAGCTGGCCAAACAAAGCACCCCAGAAGTCCCTCTCCCCAGCGACACTTTCCAGCTCCTCCTGGGGGACCCAAGGCATTCCCAGGCCAGTTGACATATGTAATCCCTCCAGCGTATTCTGGGTCTGCCCCGGAGCCTCCTACCAGTGCAATGTGCCTGGAACACCTCAAACAGAAAGCGCCCAGGACGCATCCTGATCAGATGCCTGAAACACCTCAACTGACCGCTTTCAATGCAAAGGAGCAGCAGCTCTACTTCGATCTCCCACCGGATGTCCGTGCTCCTCACCCTATCTCTAAGGCTGAGCCTAGATGGACCAGTAAATCGAAAGCTTCGCCTTCAGGCTCAGCTCCCTCTTCACCACAGCGGTCCCGCACATCACTGCGGACGCCACACCAAAACGTCCATCCATCTCACACTCCATTTTACCCTAATTCGTGAACAAGACCTCGAGATGTTTGAACTCCTTCACTTCAACTCCTACTTGAAACTCTCTCCCAACACAGAGGGGGCATTCCACTGGTTTATGGCAGAGAACCATGGCCTCAGATTTGGAGGTGCTGACTCTCATCTCACCTGCTTCACACTCAGCTGCAAACCGCTTCAGTGCATGCTGAAGGACCTGATGTGATGGGGCCAACAAAACCAAATCATCTTCTTCAGAAAGCAGAGGCACAATTCTGAGGTCCCCAAACCAGACCCCTTCCTCCCCCTGGCTGTGCCTCAAGATCCTGAGATCCAATAAAGCCCCTTTGAATTTAATTTAACTTAATTTAATTTAACCTTGCTATAATCAAAGGCAGTGTCCTTGCGCAACACCACAGGCTGTTCAAGGCATTACCGCTTTGGTTAAATTACACCTTTCACTACGTTTTTCTGGGGATGAATGCAGCCTAGATTGTCATTCTGAGAAACAACCAGAAGAGAGGCCATGCAACAAAAAGGGGTTCACCTTGAAGCATGCTTTTTTGGAAAATGCTCTCTTAAATATTTGATCCCCACTAATGACCCCAGTTTTAATTGTTGGACTTAATAAACAACATATAAACCAAGATCATTAAAATCAAGTGGGGTGGTATGGGGTACTTATTCTTAGTCAGTGTATTACATGCAGTAGATGTCAGTCGGCATGCCCTCAGTTTGGAGAAGCAGGCTTGGCCTTTGAAGCTAAGTTATCTACTGCTGTGTACAGGCGCAGCAACAAAATGTTTTTTGGCCACCTAAAAAAACTTAGACTACGTACACTATACTGACAGTATTTTCACCAGTTTACCTTTCCATCAGACAGCCAGTTTCAATGGGGAAGCCGTTAATAGCTTCAGCTCCCCATCTATGCTCAGGTTCAAGGCACCAGACTCTATTAAGAAAAACAATAATTTAAATTTCCTGAATAGGGGAGCTGCTGGTCAAACACTGCCTTGCATCAGTTAGTTTGTGTTATTGTGTGACTTTGGTGAATCCCAACTAACCCTTGTAAATGCTGAAGTCACACAAAAACACAAACTAACTAACTGATCGAAGCAGCGGTAGAGCAGCAGCTCCTGTGTTAAGAGGTGTTAAATCACGATTTTTCTCAATGGAGTCTGGCTTTGAAAACAGCGGTGTAACGGCTTAATTTTCCAGTTGGAAATCACTTTCTGACATTAATATGAAGCAGTAAAAATACTCTTCAATATATTATACACTTAACTGATATTGATGAATTTAGATGGGGCTATTTTAGGTGGCTAAATACATTTTGTTGCTGACCCCTCCACAGGATCAGACTGCTTAGCTTCCATGTCAGTCTCCAGCCTGCTTCTCCAAACTGGCGACATGCTGACTGCCATCTACTGTAGGTAATATACTGTCAGTGGATAAGTACCCCATACGACCCCACCTTGATAAAATAAATCTGAACTATCCCTTTAAATCTGTCTGTTTTCCTCCTGCATTTTATACAGGTATTTTTAATCATTATATTACATTCATTTCTAATGTAATGCACATTGCTGCATGCTTTATTAGCAGCAGCTTAGAGCAGTAAAGACAAAGATGATGACCAAAAAATGATACATGAAGTTACCTAAAATAAGTGCTATTATTTTTACTGTAGCCTACATGTTTAATGCTGTGCAGTGGTAGCCAAGTAAAATCTAGGCATGTAGACATAGTGCAAGTAGTGCAAAATTAAATACCGGGTGGACTGTAAAGATGTAGTGCAGTAGTGGATCAGATAATTGAAAGATGTAGGGTGAGTTCAGGGTGAGAGTCTTTGTGTTAGTCTCAATACAATGTACAAAATATCATTTTTAAATAAACTTTGACTACTTTAGTAAAAGTTTGCAGTGTTTCAGTTTTAATCCAGATTGTGTCTGAAGAATAAATGACATTAAATTACATTATTATGACTAACTTTCATTTTGCATGACACTGTCCACCCCCCACAGGCTGCTGTGATGCTGCTCTGACAGTGGACCACAGGGGGGCGCTGTTCTCACCGCTCCTCTTGTTCAGTGTAAATACTGCACAGTTACACCTGTCAGGCTGAGGTGCTTTCAACACAGCTTCGGGTGTATGTTATGTATGAATAAAGCTT